GTTTAACGAATTTTGCAAAATCCTTTGTTCGTATTCCAGAAAATCGGATTCTGAACAACTTTCGTACCCACACTTTTCCTTGAAAATGCTTCCTTCGAGCGAGATTTGGTTCAAGGTGCTGTGAAAATATTTTCACTTAACTAAAACTTAGAGAAATTTTTGGTTTTGAATTTTTTTGTTAAATTTTCCCAGTTTGTAAAGGACACTTCGAAGTATATGTGCTGAAGTTTTTTCGGCTTACTGACATTGTTTAGCTGGGAAAAACATTAATTACTTAAAAAAATATTGTTAAATTTTTGAGCTCGGGGCAGTTATAAAAATATTCTAATGAATCAATTGGATTCTAAAATTGTTAAGCTAGCCAGCCCTGTAGCTCGTGAAATTCTCTATCTGGTGAGGTATTGTTTAAATTCTTTTGTTGAGTCCTTATTTTGAAAATGGGACTGTAAGCTAGTAGAGTAGGTTAAATTAACGTTAATTAATACTAATTAGTAAATAATAGGAAGAAAAGAATAAAACTTTTTACACATTTTTTGGTCGTAAATATTCTCCACACATTTCTCTATCGATCTAGACAAGAACCAAATTTTTATGATGAATAGAGAATGGACAGGAATTCTTTTAATGAGAGTCCTTTGTTCAAAAACTTAACAATATCTTTTAAAGTAATTAATTTCTTTTGCTGCCGGATAATGTTAGTAAGCTGAGAAAACTTCAGAATATATACCTCAAAATATCCTCTACAAACTGGGAACGTTGGAGAAAAATCTAGATGGATCCGCAAGCTAAAGTTTGCTATACTATGATCGTTCATGTACAAAGAATATGTATCGGAAAATAATTATATGTTTTAACAGTCAATATTTAGTAACCAATGTTAAAACGGTTAGTATTCGATGAGTCGCAAACGGCCAAAGTGTTAAACTGTTGTCGTGTCTCATAATTTCATCGATAGAATTAAATTTTTTCTGTTCTCATACGCATTCATTGTCGCATCCCGCGTCGACCAAAACCAGAACTATTTGAAATTGTAATTTTCTTTTAATTTCTATTAATAAGACAAGCATAAACAAACAGGAGCAACTAAGAACTATAAGCCTTTTGTATTGCTATTGTTATCAGTGCATCGATCTGCATCAAGTGAAGAAAAAGAAAAAGTCCAAACAAATGAGCAAGAGTGCTCTCTAAAAAAAGGTTTATTACTAAACCTGAAAGGGTATAGAGAAGTGCAACCATTTCAAAACCCTTTTAGGTTCCGTAGAAGACAAGGTGCAGTACGAAACCGTTTTAAGTGCATTGAAACGATTGATCAGTGTATTTGCTTATTTCATTATGTTTTTCTCTTATGATATTTTTGCGAAAAATCAAAAATCTCAGAAGTTTCAAGTCTTTTTTGGGCTCAGTTTTCGCCGCCCTATACAATGAAAACACGCCTAAGTTTGAAATGTAGAGCTGAAATTGTAATTTTCGTCTCACACAGTTAGCCCAAGTAAGTTAAAAAAAGTTTTCATGTGCAAGTGTAACAAAACCTTTCTGTACAGTTTGTGCAGAAATTTCAAGGGTACAACATGCATATCATTAGTTTTTCCACTGTGCTTTGTAAGGTGCAAAAATTCTCATGCTCAATGCTCAAAAAAGGTCGCACGTAAATTCGAACCGTGATAAAGGCATGGGCGAGCCCGAGGAGTACCGAGTCCGAGCCAAGTCCGAGTCCTTAAAAAGTCAAACCGAGTCCGAGTCCTTGACATTAAGGACCTAGTCCAAGTCCCGAGTCCATTTCGAGTCCGGTAATTTTTTAGATTCTTTCTTTGATGGGTGTGGTTTATTCCTCTTTTATAATTTACTGAGCCCTGGATAGATATTTAATTTGTCGAAAATAAGATTACTTTGCATGTCTATTTCCTGAACAAAATTTTCAATTTCTTGTGAAACAGAAGGTGTTATTATTTCGCTTTTCATTTTTCTCTGCTCATTTGTGTTGAAAGTTGAATAGATCGGACTCGAAATACAAAAACTCAAGTCCGAGTCCGAGTCCTTTAAAAAAACCTCCAGTCCGAGTCCGCCAAAAAAAATTCCAGTCCGGACTCGGACTCGCCCATGCCTGCCGTGATAACTGTTAATTAAACAAGGTCGTTTTTTTTACAATTTTTGTTCCACTTCGCAGCGAGTTTTACTTAGTATGATCTTAAAACAACATCGTCATCTTAGTATTAAGTAGGGAATTGAACAAGAGTGGTTTGAACAACAAATAATTTTGGTCATATAATGCACATGCGATCAGGCCTGTAAAAGTTCAGCGTTCCATTTTAGCTTTCTCGCTGAACGTAACGCTAAAGCACGTTGACGTTCCTTGAACGTGAACGTTCTGATGAACGGTAACGTTATTTTATATGAACGGTGTTGAGCTTGTGTGGAATAAATATTATTGAAAACGTTATACAGCAATTTCACCTAGTAGTATACCAAGTGAAACAGCGTTTTCCATTACCAGTTGTATTTAATGAAAAATCAACGCTCGTTTATCTCAAATGAGTTAAGATAGCAAAGAAAAACGTATGTAGCTACTGTAATCGCTTTGACCAAGGAACTTCGATTCCAGTGCCGGAAAAACTAGTTTTCGGGTCACGAAATCTGCGATCTGTTCTTGGAAGAATCAATTTCTTGATCAGGGAATAAAGGGGTATCCTTTTATATTGCAATAATCTAGCCACTACCCTGAGCAAACCATCTGATCTTTCACTAGAATTTCTATTGATCAGACATGACCCAGCAGAAATATACGTGTTCTTACAATAGTACAAGAACAGAAGTTTATATTTACTTCAGATGATATGAACACCGTTCGTATAAAAAAAGCTCATGTCCACCAGTGCCTTGGTGGTTTAGCGTTCACCCTCAAGGAACACGAACGCATTTACCGTTCACGTTCGAAGAACGAAACGTGAACTTTTGCAGGCCTCCATGCGATTTACTTCGAATAAACTCCTAATCGAAAGCCATTCAAGATCTTTATTTGTTTAATTTACACCAATGTATCCACCTAATGAATGATTGATTATTTACAAGCACATTCGTATTTAATAACACTCTCAGTTATTCATATACGAGAAGTACTTTTCTATTAAGTGGATTTTTATTAATCTTTAGTTTTTGATGATAAAATAATCTTTAAGTAAGAAGTACAAAACTCCGAGTTTTGTACTTCTTACTTGAATTTCTATTTCCCACTCCATCTACTCAATTTTATAAAATAATCTTTTTTCGTCTTCCACACAAATCCATGTACCTGTGAGTACCTCAGAAACAACTAGAACATTGGTTATCGACCACGATGAGCCTCGTGACAATGTTTGTTTCGCACAAAACTTGAAAATCCAACTGGAAACCTATGTAAGCGAGAAGAACCTGTATTTGACTATTTTCGTCAAAATTGAAAAACGTAACTCATTCAAAATTATCGTGCATCTGTAGTACAAAATCTGTACTAAAAAGTACAAATCTGTAGTAAAAAAAATTATCGTATATCTGTAGTACAAAATATTAGTACGTACTCTGTTTTATCTGCGCTATAGTAAGGCACTCTTTAACTTTTGAAAATCGATAGAAAGTAACTGGGATTTTGAGAAGGTACTCATAAAATTCTGGACAAAGGACAATCTTTTTCATTAAGTGTAGGTACGGCATTACGTTGTTCAGATAAAATCGAGTATCAAGTATAATTAATCATTCAATCAGTTTAACTGATTGAATCCAGAACTTCCGTAAGTTCTCAGGAAAAGTTTTAAAAAGTCCATTTTTCCGAAAATTAGGCCCTATTTTGTAAACCATTTTTTCTCCAAAAAAGCATATCAACACAAGACAACATAATATGTATTCGTCCCGTCTTTTCAAGCTCTATCATAAAGAAAAAGATTAATTGTATGAGTTCAACAATCATTATTTTAAAACAAGAATATTCTTAGAAATATCTACTACATTCACGGAAGAGAAGAGAACAGAAAAGAATAGTAAAATGAACATATATATACTGTGAGTGTTTTTTGTCTAAATGCAGCTGACGATGATTACAGTTGTAATCGAAAGCTCCTGTTTTAAATAAAAGTTTTAAAATAATGATTGTTGAACTCATACAATTAATCTTTTCCTTTATGAAATTATTTTCAACAAATAATGTGGGAATAGTCAAGTTCTATCCGATGCAGTGGTTAAAATTGAGACTAGAAAACATTTAATGCTAGAAAACAAGAACTTTTCGAGGCGATTTTCCTCGTTTTTCAGAGTTTGAGTACGTGCTGCACCATTCTACGGGATTGCAGGACGTGGGATGACATATATTTCGCATGTACTCGATGTAGGCTATTAGAAAAATAGGTTTTCGCCAAGGGCCAAGAACCTTTGAAACAGACGGAAATTATGTGAGATTTTCGCTGGAAAAGCATCTGTTTCGAAGGTTCTTGGCCCTTGGCGAAAACCTATTTTTCTAATAGCCTACATCGAGTACATGCGAAATATATGTCATCCCACGTCCTGCAATCCCGTAGAATGGTGCACCACGTACTCAAATTTGAAAAACGAGGAAAATCGGCTTTAAAAGCTGCTTTTTTCTACCATTAAACGAAGTTTATATGGTGTGTGTCAAACATAGTAGGAGTCATCAAAGAAGAGAACGAGGAGGAGTACCGTTGTTGGCTATTGAAACATATTGTGGACGTCGTCGTTTACTGAGAATTGAATTATGTATTGCTGGCCATTCAATCTTCATTTCGCTTTCACTAAATGAATATTTTTGTCGAATAGCTTCTAAAAATAAAATAGAACAGAAACTCACAGGTGATTCGGCTTGCACACACTCTTTGGTTATGCTCGATGCAGGAGAAGACAACAATTCACATCACATCAAGAAGTTAGCTTACCCTTTATTGCTTTGACGCGTTCATCCGCATCTGCGTTGTGGCTATCCAAACTTTGAAGATCATTATAATCAATAAACAACAAATCCATTAATCGCGTGGCAAATTTTGTTGGCAAGCTAAAAGATCTTTCATTTCCACCGTTAATAAATTAATAGTAGCATCATCGCTTCTTTGGTAAATCTAAAACAGAAAAGAAAGCAATAGTTTCAATAGTTCAAATGAACTGTTGAAACTCGAATTAGTTGACTAAGTCGAACTCGAACTTACAACATCAGTAGAAGCCATAATATCATTCTGTCCCGGATTTGCTTGTGTCCCTGTTTCAACTGCTACTTTGGCAAATGGTTCTTCTAGAGCAAGGTGAATCTAAACAAGCAGAGGATGAAACAGCCCTGACTGAATGGAAATGGCTGAATTTTGCACAGCTTTCTGTTATCGGCATGAAAATATAAGGTCGGTTGTTCTATTTTGAGTTTAGTGACACACTATGAAGTGGTCAAACTCCCTCCAGAAAGTAGCTGGAGATGACAGGTTCAGTGATATTGACACAGTAAAACATACTCTGTATTTCAAAAACGTATTCGCAATTTTCTTTTGGTTCTTCAAGATTGGTTGC